AAAGGTATTTGTGTGTTTAGCTAATCTGACCATGCACTTTTTCTTAAAAAATCGCGTATTACACAGCCCGTTAAAACCACCGTCTTTAGCCTGGCAATTACAGTCTTTATCTTCATTACATTATCCCCCACCCCTCCCTTGCATGTAATGCTTTCTCCCCTATATAAGATACTGAAAATCAATCGTGCTATATGCAAACATCAAATCTTGGGTTTCAATCTCAATTACACATGTTCCTTGATTTTTCGTCGTTCATTTTAGTTTAATAGGATAACACTTCACACACGTAAAAAAATAAAGTGAAATACTTTATTTTATTAGTGAAGAACGCCAATTGATAGTGCTAGAAAAAGCCAAAGAATTACTTGTGACAACTCCAGCTTTCTAATGTGCCATAATTCACTGCTCTAAGCAGATAATCCGCCACAAATTAACGTTAGGTTGAAATTTTTAGTCTTTAGTCCCTATTTTTAGCGCAATTTCCATTCTGGAGAATTGCGTTTATTAATTAACTCGTCATTTCTGGGAATGGATGGATGAATGAATGAATGAATGAATGTATGGATGAATGTGTGTCCGGGCTTTAAGTCGTATCTTCTCCTCAACGAAGCAATATCGATGACTAGTTCCAAAAGCAATTATGTTAAGCAAGTTACGAGAATGAGCATAGGCCATAAAAATTCCGGGTTTCTTTCATGTATTTCCCGGAAAAGCCAAAAAACCTCGAAAAAATTAAGTTTTTGGCCCATATCTCGGCGACCAGACCATTTAGCGACTTGAAACATGTACCAATCGATTCCTGCCATAATTTAGAACAATATTGCCGAAGAAAGTTTTCAAAAATATCCTCTCTTTCGGTCACAAATTTTAAAATTACATAAACACCTACAAACCGATCGTTCTTCTAGCTTGAACGTACCCCAGCATTATACGTCAGAGCTATTTTTAGATAACATAAGGAAATTGCGCATAAATGTCACTAGACTTTTTTAATTAACTTGTTTTTATTTTGAACTTTTATGTTCAACTAAAACAGTTAACATAAAACATTTGCTTGTAAGCAATTGTCTGTGGTAACATACATACATAGTAGAATAGTCAGAACATAGTTATTTTACATAGATTTCATCACATTTTGTACATTAAAAGAAACGAGCTGACCAGCGTCGTAGCATACGCCGCTATCAACTTGTTTTATTTCCTACTTATCAACAATTAATAATTTGTGAATTCGACACTATCCCACCCCCCACGGTGTTTATGTTTATTTGAATGTATAGTACCGACAGGTTAGGGGTGGGTAGGCGTGTAGCTATCACGGGGTGTGGGGATACAGTGGAGTTTTAAAGGTCAAAATTTGGTTAACAGTGTTCTGATAAAAGAGTTCAAATAAGGCCGTACATGTTATTAAAGTTAACAAAACAACTGTAAGTATTAATTTAGGGATAATAAAATGAATACAAAAGGAGGAGGGGTCATTTGGGTAGTTTTGTACTTTGTGGACCAAAGTACCGTACATATATAATAATAGTAAAATAGTGTCAAATGATGACTTTACAATGTTCGTTTGTAAGCTGTAAAAATAAAACAATACACTAATAAGCAACAATAGGAAACTGAGTGACAAATGATAAATGATGCGAAACATGGTGGGGACATGGGGATTGTGGGGGGTGGGAGTCAAATTAATGTTGTTAGAAATGTATTTGGATAATACATCATTTTCAGTATTTAAAATAGTATTTCAACACAGGGGTGGGGTCGTGGGGACGAAGGGGATGCAGTAATGGGGGCAATATGATATTGGGGTCATGAGGTTGAGGTTCGGGGAAGGTGTGATGAAAGGGGATGTGTCGGTTAGGATCAGGCGGGCAGAGTTTCTCCCCCCCCCCCCCCTCCCCGAAAAAAAATCTACCGCCCCCCCCCCCCCTGAACGAAATGAAATTTATATAATTTATATAGAAAATATATACTTTTAACAGTGTCCGCCCCCCCCCCCCCCGAAGAAAGTCTACCGCCCCCCCCCCCCCCCCCCCCCCGAAAATTTCAAGTGCCCCCCCGGAGAAATAAGTCTAGAAAAAACACTGTAGGCGGGCCAGGTGGCCAATGCAGCGTAATATGTCCTTTACGTTGTGGTCTTGCTAATTATGGTATATGTGTTTGAGTGCTGACATTGCCGAGTCGTCTACAATAAATCAAGTCTAGTGCGTGTCCCGTGAACTGTACCTTGTCGTGTTTTGCTTTTATTCTACTGTTCCAAATAGTCTGTCTATAGATAGCTACCGTTCTTACTTTTTGCTCTAGGTCTCTAGGTTCGTCCTGTCTCTGTGTTTAGGGATTTTGTTTAGAGTTGTAGTCACTTTTTTTTTTTTTTTTGTATTTGCAAAACTTTAATTTGACTATTTCCCATATTAAAGATACTGATAATATTGTGGCTGAATGTCAAGAATGTAACCTTTTTTATTGATATCCACTTGGTTCATGTGAGATTTTTGTTGGTTTGTTGTGACCATTTTCAGGTTTTTACTTAGGTGATTTGCCCTGTCTTATTTTTTTCTCTATTTTTTTTCCCGCCTCAGACATGTAATTTACAGCGTCGTTGTGTGTTCGCTTTAGTATTACAGTTTTCATCATCGGCTTGTGAGGACTGATACAGATTTACAATAGTAATATTTCTTTCTTACTTGTAGCCTACTTTTATTCATTTAAGATGGTTTACTTATACATAGATCTAATACAAAACGTCTAAATATAAAAAAAAACACCTGAAAATGTAAATGTGTAATTAAATGATGATTCAAGGGATTTTTTTTTTTAGGTTTTTAAGTAGAGCTGAAATAAATTTGGGATTACAGAGAATTAAAATGATACAAATTTTAAGCAATCGGAAAAGTTATATTATTACAATGAAACACATGAAAGCAAACATTCTTCCCTTTCAAACATCTATATCTATACAGTCCTCAAACAGTTCTAACTTTATTTTTTAGTTTTTTATTAATTCAATTGTTTTAAACATTTAAATCAGTAATAATAATTTATTTGTTAGAGTTGTTGTCCCTATTCAGGGATCCAAAATTAAGACTAAGTCAAGGCGATCTGTGTTGCACGATATTAGCGGTGAGTAATCCAAGTATCCGAATAAAACTCGAAAGAAAGCTAAGGCTTTTGCTTTCAACACTAAGTGCATTTTAATATATTTTCTTAAATAAAGCAATATTTTGAACAATCTTAAAATTAATATATTATTATGTGTTTTTAAAATAATACAATAAATTAAAAATATATTCTTTAGTTATATCTGAAATATCATATTCGAATTAAAGTATTTTATTAACAAGTTACCTCCCTTGGACAAATTTTTGATATGTGGCCTGGGTAGTAGCAAGGGAGGGAGGAGGGGGGATAGTTAAACTATATTTTAAATACAAATTTAATTTTTTTCATATTTTGATCACGCGAGGGTGCACTGCAACCAAATCTAAATTTAAAAATAAACGAGTACAAAAATGTCACAAGTGATGAAGGTGAGTATGTTAATGTTAAGGTCTTGTCAAATATTACATCATATTATACAGGCAGTTCTAAAGGGATCATACCAATTGGAAGGTCGAAAAAGGAATTTGTAATGATTTTTTTTTCGGTCTAAATTAAAACACAAAAAGGTAGAGTTTTGTTATGAGGCTACTCATTGTTCATAGAATATCTCAGTAATAAGTAGATATTGTTGTGTTGTCTTTTTTTTGTTTAAATTCGATGTATTTTTTATTATTAAATATTTCAGGAAACTGAACTGTTTTTTAAAGCATTTTAAAACATTTCAATTAATAACTACTAAAAAGTAGGAAATAAAATAGATATAAAAACTGTTACTATAAAGAATTTAAAGAATGAAAATAACACAACTGTGCGAGTAAATAAAACAAACTTGCTTAACTTATTCAAAGCATTTGGACGCTCATAAATTATCTTACACATTTAAGCGATCAATGCTTTGATACCAGTGGCGTAGGCAGGCGGGGGGGGGGGGGGGTTAGGGGGGGGGTCATATGACCCCCCCCCCCCATAGACCCCTCGGTATATATATATAAAGTATGAGGCGGGTGCAAATCGAAAGTTTGATGTTGGGGTGGGGGGGGGGTGCAAATCGAAAGTTTGTCCCCGGGTAAAAATTGAAACCTCCCCTTGAGACGATCCTGGCTACGCCACTGTTTGATACAGTGGTGTCGCAGAGTTGGGCGGGATTGCTGCGGTCCACATCGGGTGCCATCATTTTAGAGGGGGACACCAAACCAAAAAATCGTAAACGTTTCTGACAAAACCATGTTTTATCCAGAAAAAAATAGTGAAATATAAGGGGAGGGGGTTGAAATCATGCCAAAATTGCTAAATTGTTTGAGCGCGGGGTGGGGGTGGGGGAGGGGCAGAGGCGTAGCGATCCCTCCAGGCGCTCGTGGACAAAATTCAATTCGCCCCCCCCCCCTCATATATATATTTTTTAAATATTTTTAATTAAAAATAGCGGCTAAAATCAGCTTATTTTGGCGCCCGGGGACATGTGTACCCCCCTCGTCGGTACGCCTCTGGGTGGGGGGGGGGGCGACAATCTAGAAATAGTACTGATTTTATTCAAGAAAGCCAGTTTAATTAGGTAACTGGTTTATTTTTGTCCCGGTTGTCAACATCATTTGACCTAAAACCACGTCAAGTTTACTGTAGTAGAGATAGACATTACAATAAGCCATGTGATCGACGATAGCTTCAATCTGCAATTTATGATCACATTGCATTCTCAAAGTTTCTACAAACTAAAACCTAAAGTCTATTTCATCTAGACATACGTATTGTTGTATTAGTATTTAGCACGTAATGTAATCCTATATCTTTAAAGTCTGTTTTTCATGATCACATTTTGCCGTATGACTTGTTTCCGATGTTTTAGATTTCAGCATTGTTATCAAAGCTGATAAACTAATGACTAATATTATGGGAGTTTTTCCTATGAGCTTCGCGGAGTATGTGTCGTTGATAGTGAAACAATTACAACACTTACAACACAGCTCACAGCACAGCGTAACACAGGTGACCTACGACACAAAAAGGTAAAGTTTTGTTGTGAGGGGACTCATTGTTCATATTATATCTCACTAAGGTATTGTGTGTTGTGTATTTACAACACAGTTAATAGAGTGCGCTAGGCTACCTTTGTTCGAGTAAATATAAAATACCTCTGACACAAGTAGGTTTTGCTATATGGTAAAACTATTTTTAAAATGTTGATATTTTAAATTTGTTGATATTCTTTGACACTTCTATAGATCAAAACTTGAAAAATAACCCACTTGAATAAAAAAAGGTTATCAAATAATCAAGTTTGTTTTAATCTAAAATATTTTCAATTTTTTTATTTGATTAGTATAATATACTTTGATCCGATACATTTTTTAAAGCAGAAAGAAAAGTGTATAGGCCTATACAATATTAGAATACAATTTTAAATCGTCTGATTTATATAACTAAATTCTATGATGTTTCTGTTATCTGACTGTCAATTTGGTAAAAATTTGTTTTATAATATCAACATTAAATTAAAGCAGAAAGAAAAGTGTATATACAATATTAGAATACAATTTTAAATCGTATGATTTATATAACTAAATTCTATGATATTTCTGTTATCTGACTGTCAATTTGGTAAAAATTTGTTTTATAATATCAACATTAAATTAAAGCAGAAAGAAAAGTGTATATACAATATTAGAATACAATTTTAAATCGTATGATTTATATAACTAAATTCTATGATATTTCTGTTATCTGACTGTCAATTTGGTAAAAAATTGTTTTATAATATCAACATTTAATTGTCACAATCTAGTATGGGATCCCATAATCTCAAGTAGTTCACTATAACAACTCTCCAGTCATTACTCTATAGTCTGTCACTACCGCTTCAATTCTGACACACAGCAAAAGTGTCTTGTTTTCACAATTATCATTTCCTCCTTTACATCTGTCACAGCAGGCGCCAATCATGGAAGAACAAGGCACCCTAGCACCAGCAATCTTCGTCATGGGGATGGGATTCCTCATCCATACAATTGCTATGGCGACCCCATACTGGGTGCAAATGGGAATGGCCAACGCTGGACTGTGGGCATCATGCGTGCTGGAGACATGTGTAGCATACGTCGAGAAACCAGGTAATTTTATGATTTTAATGACATTTTTGTATCAGATGATTAGATACGTTGAGAAACCAAATAATTTGATAATTTTAATTACATTTTTACTTTCTCGTATATACGTAGTATAGAGAAAGTATTGTAATCGTGCAAAAAAAAAATCGAGATTTTTACAAATCTCGACGTTTTACACCTCACTGATACGGAAAAACATAATTTTGCAATCTTGTCCGTATGTCTGTGTGTCTGTGTGTGTGTGTATGTGTGTGTGTGTGTAAACACGATAACTTGAGTACCGTTACAGCTAGGTTGATGAAATTTCATATATAAGTATTTTATCAAAATCGTAGATCCGTATCAACTTTTGAGCGATTTCCGATAACCGGAAGTGGTACTTTTTCTACTTTGAATTTTTCAAAAGCCTATAACTTGAGTACTATTTCAGATAGATAAATGAAATTTCATATGTAAGTAAAAGATCTAATCCTCTACCTTCTGTTAAATTTTGAGTAATTTCCGTTGACGGGAAGTACTAATTTACGCTATTTTCGATTTCTCAAAAACGCATCTAAATTTATAAAGCACTAATAATATTGCGCACCATTATGAACATCTTTATTCGGCGTTCGCTTGGTGTGCAATACTTTTTTCTATGAGATTCTATTTTATTTTTAAAAGTTTATGTATTTAAAATGGATTAAAAATCATAACTATATCCCGAGTTCCCATCCCCTGTTGTTTTATATAAGAATATTCGAGAAAGTTTAGGGGAGATCACTCCCGGTTTATTATATCAGATGATTAGATATGTTGAGAAACCAAGTAATTTGATAATTTTAATGACATTTTTATATCAGATGATTAGATACGTTGAGAAACCAAGTAATTCGATAATTTTAATCACATTTTTAAATCAGATGATTAGATATGTTGAGAAACCAAGTAATTTGATAATTTTAACGACATTTTTATATCAGATTGAGAAACCAAGTAATTTGATACTTTTAAATACATTTTATATGAGTTGATTAGATACGTTGAGAAACCAAGTAATTTGATACTTTAAATGACAATTTTATATGAGATGATTAGCCTAGACTGAGAAACCAAGTAATTTGATAATTTTAATGACATTTTTATATCAGATGATTAGATACGTTGAGAAACCAAGTAATTTGATAATTTTAATGACATTTTTATATCAGATGATTAGTTACACTGAGAAACCAAGTAATTTTATAATTTTGATGACATTTTTATATCAGATGATTAGATACGTTGAGAAACCAAGTAATTTTATAATTTTAATGACATTTTTATATCAGATGATTAGATACGTTGAGAAACCAAGTAATTTGATAATTTTAATGACATTTTATATCAGATGATTAGATACGTTGAGAAACCAAGTAATTTGATAATTTTAACGACATTTTTATATCAGATGATTAGATACAAATTAAACAAAAAAGACAGTGCAGGGAAGTTCTTAAAAATAGAGAATGATATTTATATGAATTAAGTTGTATTATTAAAATACATGTAAATACTTAACCTGTGGGTACGAGATGGTGGTCGCGTAGTAGAGTAGGCCTACACGATTGCTAACCACGAAGTCTCGAGTTCAATTATCAACCTCGAGTGTGTAGGACGTCCTCCCCCCCACGAAATTTTTTTACCGCCCCCCCCCCCCCCCGAAAGAAATGTAATTTATATAATTCATATAGAAAATATATACTTTTAACAGTGTCCGCCCCCCCCCCCCCCCCGAAGAAAGTTTACCGCCCCCCCCCCCCCCGAAAATTTCAAGTGCCCCCCCGGAGAAAAAAGTCTGGAAGAAACACTGATTCAGCTTTAAAGAGTACCTTACAGCTGTAACGGTACTCAAGTTATCGTGTTTACACACGGACAGACAGACAGACAGACACACAGACAGACACACAGACATACGGACAAGATTGCAAAATTATGTTTTTCCGTATCAGTGAGGTGTAAAATGTCGAGATTTGTAAAAATCTCGATTTTTTTTTGCACGATTACAAGACTTTCTCTATACTTCGTATATACGAGAAAGTAAAAAGGCTCAATATTGTGAAGATAGAGCAATCCCTTCAAACACAGGAGCCACATACATAGGTGAACTCTCTCTCTACCGGTTCGAAAGGGAACTAAATCTTTAAATCTGTTTCCTTGACATCACAGGGGGATGTCAACTTCCCGGTAAAAGGCAGGATTATGATTGGTTTTAGCGAGTTAAACAGGTTTTGTTTTGTAATAATATGAGGTGTGAGCGGGTAAGGAAAACATTCCGACAAATAACCTTTTTAAATATATGCTGGAAAACTGTTCATTGGATAAAGCTTACAACCGATAGTTCGCTAAGGGAGACAAGCCAAATAATTTAACAAAAAAGTAGTTGTGTTCTCTTGACGCATTGTGTTTTTATGAGACATAAAGAATAAAATGAATGAAATTTAATTGATAACCAATCAATATACTGGTTTTTCTATACGCTTTAGGTTTTACCTTTTTTCAACTACAAAATCTATTTTACAATTAGAACCAAATTGAGACATGAGTTTATATTTCGTATTTAAACCCACAAAGGAATATACATCTCACTGCCCTCAGTCAAAATGTAGTTGTTGATGCCAATCTCTCGTTTCTCTGCTGTTACAGACTGGATGATGGCGTGTGAGGCCTTCTCTGTTGTTGGTACCATCTTCGGCGCTGGAGCTCTGGCCTTCACCACCGTCAACTTCTGCAACGATTGTTTCCGTCGTCCGCAGAACGCCAGACTTGCCGGCTTTCTTCTGGGCAGCAGCATCTTAGCGTGTAAGTCTTTGTTAGCGTGTAAGTCTTTGTTAGCGTGTAAGTCTTTGTTAGCGTGTAAGTCTTTGTTAGCGTGTAAGTCTTTGTTAGCGTGTAAGTCTTTGTTTGCGTGTAAGTGTTTGTTAGCGTGTAAGTCTTGTTAGTGTGTGAGTCTTTGTTAGCGTGTAAGTCTTTGTTAGTGTGTGAGTCTTTGTTAGCGTGTAAGTCTTTGTTAGCGTGTAAGTCTTGTTAGTGTGTGAGTCTTTGTTAGCGTGTAAGTCTTTGTAAGCGTGTAAGTCTTTGTTAATGTGTGAGTCTTTGTTAGCGTGTAAGTCTTTGTTAATGTGTAAGTCTTTGTTAGCGTGTAAGTCTTTGTTAATGTGTAAGTCTTTGTTAGCGTGTAAGTCTTTGTTAGCGTGTAAGTCTTTGTTAATGTGTAAGTCTTTGTTAGCGTGTACGTCTTTGTTAGCGTGTAGGTGTTTGTTAGCGTGTAAGTCTTTGTTAGTGTGTAAGTCTTTGGTTGGGTGTAAGTCTTTGTTAGTGTGTAAGTCTTTGTTAATGTGTAAGTCTTTGTTAGCGTGTAAGTCTTTGTTAGCGTGTAAGTCTTTGTTAGCGTGTAAGTCTTTGTTAGAGTGTAAGTCTTTGTTAGCGTGTAAGTCTTTGTTAGCGTGTAAGTCTTTGTTAACGTATTCCTTTTTGCTAGCGTGTAAATCACTGTTGACATCTTAGCGTGTAAGTCTTTTTTAGCGTGTAAGTCTTTGTTAATGTGTAAGTCTTTGTTAGCGTGTAAGTCTTTGTTAGCGTGTAAGTCTTTGTTAGCGTGTAAGTCTTTGTTTTCATTTAAGTCTTTGTCAGCATCATAGCTTGTTAATCTTTGTGAGCATGTAAGTCTTTGTTATCAAATTTTATTGCAATTTTAGTAGAACAAGTGCTTCGCATTGTGAAATATTACGTTTATTTATTTAGTATTTTCTTTTCTTTATTTATTTAATAACGGTAACAATAGCAGGCACGGAGGCCTTTTTTTCACATTGGCCGTTTTAAAATAAACAAATAATACAACAATTTAATAACAGTAAAATATCATTAAAATGTAATAATGTTTTGGGTGTGTGTGTGGTATCATTTTACATCCGATGTTTTTCATCTTTCTAATGTACAGAATTATCAACTTTTGCTGTTATCAGATTATCATCAAAAAGCATACTGTTGTTCACTTTGCACCTAGACTATCATTGTAACAGTATGCACTCACAATGCCCTATAACAGCCCTAGTGAAATAAATCTCTAACCCATCTCTCATATTTCTACCTATAGTCGCCTGTATCATGACGTGTATCGGTATCTTCGCTGGATACGCCAACTACGGATCTTCCTTGAGTTTCTCTTTCTACATGTCGTCATGTGGTGGAGTGTTGATGGTTATGGGAGGCATCATGGGATACGTCATCGTTAGGCGGTGTGGATATTAAACTAATTAATTAACAATTCTTAAAATACCCGGCAAGTTGTGTATTATTGTATGCAAAATTAAATATCTACATGGTAATTAGTGTATTTTTTATTCTGTTGCCTTATGAACAATTTTTTTTCATAATTTTATACATTACGTGTAATAATACGTTTAAGTGTGCTCTACATGTGGTTTGATTGTTTTTACCTGACATTACCAACAACAAATACAAAGCAAAACATAAAGACGACACATTTACAAAGAAAAAAGGCACAAAAACTGGCTTAAATACTAGCACCAATTAATCAAACGCAATGGCTATGAACAACTACATAAATAAAATAATGACACTTGAAAACCAACTGGACAAAAATGAAACATTTTTATCCTGAAAGTGTGGCGTCTATTAAGGTATAAACGACCACGTTGAAAGTAGATTCAGCACGGCCAGATACGCCTCTGAAAGTTTATGGGAGGGTGTGGTTAAAAGTTGGTGCTAACCTTGCTCTCAGGCTCTTGTTTGTACGATATACCAGACAGCTCTAATGGTTACCTTACCAGGTTACAGCTAGGGAAAGTAAAGGCGGCTGGGCATAGAGCTGGTCTCTTCTTATGCCGAGGTCACTGAAACAGGTGAACTCTGCTTCACAAACTACATGGACCGTAGGTTCGGAGATAAATTCATGACGAAAAGCTTCTGGGAAACCCTAATGCATTGTAAAGAAACAAAAAGCTTGAAAACTTTTGCACAAATGTCAACTCTGTTTTTCTGTATGGTTTAGTGACATGAAACTAAACAGAAATGTTGTGCACAAATGTCAAATCTGTTTTTCCCTATGGTTTAGTGACATGAAACTAAACAGAAACATTAACTCACATTAACTAACAAGCACCTGGGTATTTATATGTTGATCTATTATATACGTCTTGACTTGAAGGTAAACTTGTTTGACAAGTACCAGTGGAATACAAAATAAGAGAAAGGAAGTTTGGTGGATTGGGCACTAGAAAGACAGTCTATAAAACCACTGGGCATGTGTTGAAATGGACCCCCCCCTCCACATGAAGACGTTGGAGAGAATAAGAGTGCAGTAGAAAATATCAAACTGGCCTAAAATTAACAACTATACACACACACACGCATATATATATATATATATATATATATATATATATATATGTGTGTGTGTGTGTGTGTGTGTATATGTATATATATATATATATATATATATATATATATATATATATATATATATACATATACATACATACATACATACATATATATATATATATATATATATATATATATATATATATATATATATATATATATATATATATATATATATAAATGTTTATTAAAAATTAATATATATTGAGTTGTTTGTATTTTTATTTTCAATAGTGTGAAGTAAAACTATTTTAAGAAATGTTTGATTTTAAATATCAATTTTTGTTTGTTACTTCCCATTTGTGAAGGAAGTAATACTAGGGGGGAAAAATAAAAATATGTTATAAAAAGTCGTTAAAAGTCATTGAAGTTCTGTTGTAATAAAAATATTTTTAATGACATTACAAAATATACATATTTTATTTCTGGTGCTATTATTTATGTTTAAATTATCTTTAATAGTTTTCTTTAGAATTATTGTTTGAATCGAGTTAAAATAGTAAACTATTAAGTGTGTAGCATTTCTAATCTGCGTTTATTATCTACCAATTTGAATTTGATGTTTGTACATCTGAATCAGTTATAAATTTTAGTAATGACTTTGAGTTCCATCATCTCTCAAGTATTCATCTTTCTCAGCGTGGTAGCTCTCAAGAAGATGGATACTATAAAGCTGTTTCTTATGTTGTCTCGCCCTAAATTGTTAAAGGAATTAACAAAGAAAATTAAATCTTATTGATGAAAAAAAAAATTTAAAAAAAAAAAAGAATCAGTTATGAAGCCACCGGCCGTGGGAGTATGGTCGCTCTACTTCTCATACTGATGTATCATTCCTAATTTTTTTCTGAGTTTAATTTCTTTCTATTTATTTGTGAGTTTAAGTTACTTTTTATTGTTAAGTTTACTTTCTTTTTATTTCCGTTTTTTTTCTTCTTTATTTTTAATGAGTTTAATGTCTTTCTTTTTATTTCGGAGTTTAATGTCTTTCTTTTAGTGGAATCTGAATTACAGGTATGTTAAAACTTATTTAGCAAGAATCGAACTAAAGCCTATGATCTTATTGGATCTCTAACCTTCTGGGTCGCAGTAAAGTGCTCTGCCACGCGTCCTCAATATTATGTAAACAAACGCTCGAATAAGGAAGCAAGAACAATGAGTTCCGATGTTGTTCCTGTCATTTACTTGTATACTTCTTGATGTTTCTAGACACTTTACTCTCATTTGTCTCCTTGTAAATGGAACTCTGAAACTCAGAATACGTGTCGTCACGCCAATCAGCCTTACCTTCTCCGAGGTTTTAAACGACATCACAAAGCGGAATAAATAAGGCTAAATGAATCGCTATGCTTCAAGGTATGTCTTGTCATTTCCTTATTTAGACACCCCCACGCAGGAGAGAATGTGCTTAAATGTATTTACTTCTTCGTTCTTAATTGTAATATTGAAGCGATTTCCTCCAACACAATTAAATACCTATTACCTCTAGAAACGTTGAGCATTATACGGCTCATTGACTTAAACTAGCTTAGTTTTTGGATTGGCTTTTGTACATCCAAGAACAAACTACAAGCCAGCAGTAGTTGTTTGATTTCCTTTCTCTCCTAGATGTGCTGCTGTCCTCAGCTAACGAGCCTAATCTTCCCGGGAATTTGTTTACAACTTGAAAACTTTGAATGACACTTTGACTGCCGATATGACTTTGATGGTGTGTCTTTCCTTGACTGTCCACGTGACTTTGACTGACCATGGGGTATTGTGACAGACCTCATGATTTTGACATTGTCAAGTTTTTTTGACACACCATGTAACTTAGAAAAATCACGTGACTTTCCGAGACCCTGCTATCCACCGACAGTAAAAAAAAAAGTTCCCTTTTAAACCTGATGAAGTAGAGTTCGCCTGTTTCTGTGATCTTGGCATATGAAGGGATAGTGACGTCAGTACTATGCACAGCCGTCTTTACTTCTACTGACTTGAACCCTGATTCGAGCTCTCTACCGCTAGGCCACCCCGTCCCCCTGACAGTGCTCATGTCATAAAGCCCTCAGTTGCCAAACGTCAGTGTAGCCCTGTACACAGATAACATCTTATATCTTCCTTACATTTTCACGAGAGTTATCTCCCCTGTCGTGTACTTTGTGACGAAGTGTAAATGTGAAATATAACCAGCAATTTTAGCAACCAAAGTACGCGACGCGAGACATTAGTATCTTACGCCTAGGCTAAATTTGGTCGCGTTTTCAGAATTGTCTTCCTTGACATACTCCTTTTTACTCCTTGTGGAGCATTGGGCCTCAATCATAACCTTTGTGTGAGTAGAGGTTTTTTTTAAATGAATATATTGGAATAGAAATCAGTCATATACGGGGATCCATTTCTTCATTTAGCTTTGCAATACCTCTTGTATTCATACACTATACAACGACACAATGCCAAGTTAAAATATCATTACAGTTTATTTACACTTAACACATGCACAAATCATTCTACTTAGTGTTTAACTACAGTAAAATAGCGTTAAATAAGCTAGAGGTAAAAGCTGCTTTCACACAGTAAAAGGCGTGTTTTTGCAACTAGTTTTAAAATATAACCACAACTTTTAAGCAGCTGTCTGTATTCTTAAAAATAAACTATCAACAAATTAATCGACATTAAACAAAACTAAACCTACAAAAATAACTAACCAAAGTAAAAACACCATTTTGAAACAGCACACAGCTATTGAGAAACAACACACACTAGATCAGGGGATCTCCAAACTTTTCAGCCTGCGGGCCGCATTAACTATCAAATATAACTTCGGGGGCCAGAGTTTCTTCCAGGCATCTCATTGGGGTGGCATTTTTCCACAGTCACCTACGACAAAAAGATCTCCGTGGGCCGGATGAGAGGACCTTGCGGGCCGCATCCGGCCCGCGGGCCGTAGTTTGGAGACCCCTGCACTAGATTATAGTCTCCTTATCTTTATAACACAATAGGACATTACACTTCAGTACATAAAGATACAGATGTAGGCTTAATTGCTTCATTATTTTTTTAATAATAGAACTTCATGACGTCACATAAGTGGGCGTTTCCTTTTACATTAAATGTGAACGGGCTTTTGATGATAATTGTCAGGTAAGAGATGTTTTGTCAGCAATATATATAATATTATGTTCATGTTCATAAAATTGTTTTAGATAGAAGTAATATTATTTGTTATCGTTGAAAATATTGTCAAAAATGTATAATCATACATCCAAGTCTTAATCCAAACATCTCAATAGTCTTCGATGTAAAATATTTTCTCACTCCTTATTTCCAATTGTTTAGACAGCGATATAAGCAACATTATCACGAACAGCTGTTTTGTTGTGCTATTTCTTATCATCTCATAGTTGGATACACACGAGTAGAGGGGACTTCACTCTGGATGGCTTAGATTTGTTTACATTTGATCATTGTCTCGCCATCTAGCTTTGCTGTATACTACTCTATAGGCTTTGTTTAATTCACTCAAGGACTGGATGATTATACCAGGAATGACCATGTTACTTTGACTCAATGTATGACTTTTTGAATGACCTTGTCAGTCTTACACTGACTGGTGATAGTGTGACTTTTTTGATTGACCATTTAACTTTTACTATCCATGTGGCTTTGTGACGTTGACAATGTCACGTCTATTTAACTTAGAATGATCATGTTACTTTCTGATATACACAAATAGTATGTATTGAAACCTTTATTAGCCATGCACACGTATTACACTGTGCACTGATATTTATCTCTAGCTGATATCTTCATGAGTGATTTCCACAAGACATTAGTGTGTTATACATTGGTTTCTTTCAGATCTTTTTCTTGGTTGGAGGGTGGGTGGTGAATGTGTTACAGCGGGGAGAGGGGACACAGCCGCCATACCTTCTCCCCACCCCCACCCCTCGAATAGATAATTGAAAAGATCACTGTAAATTATCTAGCCATAATTTGTTATCTCAGTGCTTTGTTCTCACTAATACAGATGTCATCCATAAAAGATGTCACGGCCTTGTGATAGTGTAATATGTGACATAAGTAGTATGGTGTGTGTGTTTGTGTGTGTATGTGTGTGGGTATTATTTGACGTAGCATATATATTTTGTTTTTCTTAAAGATTTAAATATAAAAATTGCGAATGTAAGATTTTTATTTTTTTATGTTATTATTTTGCGGGGGAGGGGGGGGGGGTCGGTTCAAACTGGAATTCAAACCGGAACTCAAATTTCTGTCTATTCTTCTTAATTGCCGTTTTTACTTGATAACCAATTAAACACATTTTAATTAGCTCTTTTACCCACTATATTGTGCAGACTTATAGTGCGTCCAACGCATTTATTTTAAAATGGAGCTGAAGAATGCGTATATCCTTGTTTAAAAAGTGTTTTAAACGTTTCTTGTTATGAACGTTTTAAAAGTTTTTACACTTGTTATATTTAAAATAAAAATCGCAAGTTTAGTTGGAAATATTTTAGAATGAGTCTACAGTAAAACATCCTTTGTTTATTTCCGGAATGTATCAGTCTAAAACTGCTGGAAATATTAATATCAAATCTAATTTAATAGTTACGTGATATTGAGTCTTTTTCTTCTTCTTCGTTCTTAATTATTAGTGTTGAAGGGGATCGAGAATTATCTGCTAGTGCGTTTGAACTCGAGACTTTGTTCAAATTTATCAACCATGAGCTTTTTGCCGACTCGACCACGCCTCCAACACAATTAAGCGATACGTGTCAACTGGTTATGCGCCATTGAGGCCATTGACTCCGATTTCAGCCTGCTTTTCTTTTTGGATTTGCTTCCATAGCCTTTGTCCAACCAAGAACAAACTACAAGGCAGCAGTTGTTTAATTTTGGAGTTGTCTCTCCTAGAAGAGTGGCTGTCCCCAGCTAACGAGCCTCATCTGCCCGGGGGTTCGAACTCGAGACTTTTCGGTTTAGCAACCATGAGCTTTACCGACTCGACCACGCCGTCGTGATATTGAGTTAAAACTATTAAAATACAGTGAAAGATCACAATAAATATGTTTACAGCTATATGAATATAATACATAACTTTTATAAGCTGCCTTCTGTAATTTAAATAATCAACTACCTTCGTATTATACGGCATTAAAAAAAAGAATCCTTTAAAAATTAAGGACCAAAGAATTTAGCAGGGGAAATCCATTTTTAAAACGTCCCATATTTCAAGCGATTGTAAAACAATACACTCTAGATTATACTTATCTTTATGAAACAAAGGTACATTATTACTGTCTGAGGCGTAGCTAGGGAAGGGCGCGTTGGTCGGGCGTTCCGGGCGCCCGAGCTTAGGGGGAGGGGCGCAAAATCGGGTAGAACATTTTAATAAAGCTTATTTTGAGTTGCATTACGGTTGAAATTAAGAAAATAGAAAGCTAGTTTGCTCTACCGACGGATTTCTACATTATTGGTGTGATACGGGAAAAGAAACAATTAACAGTGACTGGGGAGGGGGGGCGTCCTTTTTCGCGAACCTGAACAAATATATAAATATAACGGGGGTTGCGAAATATATAGTTCGCATCAGATACCGAAATGGGTTGCTACGCCTCTGATAACCGTACATAGAGATACAGAATTGTGTTGCATTGTTTCATTCAATACTTTATCAATGATAGGACTTCGTGACGTCACAATAGTGGGAGTTTCTCTTGACTCCGCGAAGCAAAGTTACTAAGACGTATAAAGTAAGTACGGCTTTTGATGATAATTGTTAGTGACCTTTACGCGCCGCAGGTAAGGGACGTTTGTAGACAGAATTGTGTGTTCTTGATTCTGTTTCTTCTGACTTTGCTCATGATTCTGTGTGTTCTGACTTTGCTCATGATTCTGTGTGTTCTGACTTTGCTCATGATTCTGTGTGTTCTGACTTTGCTCATGATTCTGTGTGTTCTGACTTTGCTCATGATTCTGTGTGTTCTGACTTTGCTCATGATTCTGTGTGTTCTGACTTTGCTCATGATTCTGTGTGTTCTGACTTTGCTCATGATTCTGTGTGTTCTGACTTTGCTCATGATTCTGTGTGTTCTGACTTTGCTCATGATTCTGTGTGTTCTGACTTTGTTCTTGATTCTGTTTCTTCTGACTTTGTTCTTGATTCTGTGTGTTCTGACTTTGTTCTTGTTTCTGTTTCTTCTGACTTTGCTCATGATTCTGTGTGTTCTGACTTTGTTCTTGATTCTGTTTCTTCTGACTTTGCTCATGATTTTGTGTGTTCTGACTTTGTTATTGATTCTGTTTGTTTTGACTTTGTTCTTGATTCTGTTTGTTCTGACTTTGTTCTTGATTCTATTTCTTCTGACTTTGTTTATGATCCTGTTTTATAGTATTATATTACTTGATCTTGACTATGTTGGAACTATGTTGGAACTAACTATTGCCTTTATTACGCTTAATTTAATTTTGTTCTAAATTTGATTTGATCTAAATTTTTTCTAGTTTCTCTTCGATCTTATTTCTCTTCTATCTCGTTTTGTGCATGTATCCGATTTATAAACTCTCGTTAAAAGAAAAAAATAAAGGAAAATTATTATTGAATTACTTTTTATCTTTGAATATATTTTCCACTTAAAGTAAAATATAAATAATTAAATAAACTACATTTTTATCTAATTTAATAAATACATTAATGAAAATTAAATTTTAAGGTACTTGAAATACAAGTATAATACTGTTAAAATGTTTTAATTATAATGCTACTATTTTTATTGTAAATATTCAAATTGTTTCATTTAACTAGATATTGCGCAAATACATATTTAAACTAATTTAAACGTTAAAATATAACTATTTTTACACTGCTCGTAATATTATAAATATGTAATAATATCTGCCGTTTTTGTAAGCTGAGTTAAACAAAATGCAATGAAGCAGATAAAGATGTGTTTAAGATTGTGTAGATGTTAGATGACACGTACAGCACTAATGATGTGAAGCGTGTTTACGATTTAATGGTTATTTTTTCATACAGAATCAGACATCGATGTTTGACATTTTAAAAGTGATTTAAAATACCTTGTAACCCCCTCCACCATCCTAGACTCAAGTTTCTATAGTTTTATACTGTAGTATCTCTACCCCCCCCTTCCCCATTTCTAGACGCAAACTAAAAAAAATCGCAATAAATAGGATTCGTTATCAATATTTGCCATGTAGGGGTGTAGGGGGGAAAGGAATTAGCACCCCCCTAGCATCCATATACATATATATATATATATATATATATATATATATATATATATATATATATATATATATATATATATATATATATATATAAATATATATAAATATATATATATATATATATATATATATATATATATATATATATATATATATATATATATATATATATATATATGTTACTTGGAGGTGGGGAAAGGGGGCAACACGACGAGTAGCAGTACCGGGTCAGTCCGATTTAGCGATAACCTTGATCGTGAGCACGTCTTTCCAGTCTTTTATTTTGGTGCAACTTTGGTGTAATGCCAGTGATGTAGAAAGCAGTAACATAAGTCAGTAAAGCCAAGTCGCAGTCTATTTTTTAAATTCGAAGGTGTATCATTCATGGATGCAGCTCAGAATAAGCTTGTGATTTATTTCTACTCTCCTTTAGGCCCCACCCCTCCACCCCCTAGCTACGCCTCTGGCTGTCTCACGTCAAGTTACGGATGTTGGTGATGACCCATTAAGGCAGCTCTATAACAAATAGAATCCGTGATACAGTTTTATTGGGCCAAATCAGTGTCTTAAGTTAAAATTGACGACCCTGATTTTATCTTTAACTTACTTTTAGTTTATCTCCGTGTTCTGATTTATATGTCTACTATTCTCGACAACTGTATCATCATGTTATACGTTAATTACCTACTTAATCAAACTATACTTATCAATCGTTATCTATTATATCTTGTGACGGTGTACGGCATGTGGCTGATCTCGGTGTAAAGGTCGACGTTAAGGTCAGGATAGTTTTATGAATTCGTTTTGAACACACCCCTCGACCTGCTTTTCTGAACTCCGGTTCAGATCCTTAGAAAAAATCAGAATTTAGGCCAATCGTGGGTTTCGGCATAGTTATGCCTTATGGCCTAGACTGTGTTTAGATTAGGAGACGCCATCTTCCACTTAACATCCCCCCCCCCCAACACGCGCATACAACAACGATGCTGGGTCGACTGAAAAGCATTTTTCTACCACATTTTAAAATGTATATGCACGTTTACATTGGAAATCGGAGTGGGAACGGAGTGGTCTAGCGAGAGAGCCTTTCCAGCATTCTCTAAAAGTCTAATTTCACCATCTGTTTTAATAACACAGAAAAACAAAAACAAAAAATAATGATTTTGAGAAATCATAGACTAATTAGAAAATAATATAAAAAAATAAAACAATATAAATAATCTTAACATTTTTCTATTTTAATTATGAACCTTAACATAAAATAATCAATGCGGTAGTAATAAAAAACAATTAGCTTCAATTAGTGATAAGTAAAACTTTTTTTTTGACATTAATCCTTTTAATATGTTTTAGGAATGTGAGGGTATTTAATATTTTCTTTACGTTATGCAAAAGAGTAAAAACAGTGGCGACTGTAAAATAACTTTATGTCGTTATATAAACAAACCCTACTCTTTATATATAATAAGAAACTGCGATGCACTAAAAAGCACTGCATGGTGCGATGTTTGCTTTCATGGTTCCAAATCTGGAACCAAGGTAGGACTGACACATTACCAGCCCGCTTATAATTATAGTAGGTCCCCAACCAGTTCCATGGCTCATGCATGTTTTATTGAGCCGTAGAACTGGTTGGTGACCTACTTAGAGTTCCTATTGTGAAAAGCTGAACAGAGTGGCAAGACACATTGGAGAGTGAAAAGCTTTGACAGGGGACTTAAAATCCCCATGGAGCGAAATGAAAATAATGATGCATTTGGATCTATAAATACATCTTTTAATTCTTCCATTTCAGACAATCCTTCGCAAATGACTCAAATCGTTCCTCTAGCTGCAGCTGCAGGCATCATAGGTCTGGGGGCTCTACTGCATCTGGTTGGCATGGCAACGCCGCATTGGGTGGACGTTGGCTTGGCCAGCTCTGGACTTTGGTCGGCCTGTGCCATGGACAACTGCGGTGCATTGGTAGATAAACAAGGTAACAAAAATATCATCTTTCTAGCAAATATTGTGTGTTCTTTTTTACTTTCTCGTATATACGAAGTATAGAGAAAGTCTTGTAATCGTGCAAAAAAAAAAAATCGAGATTTTTGCAAATCTCGACGTTTTGCATCTCACTGATACGGAAAAACATAATTTTGCAATCTTGTCCGTATGTCTGTGTGTCTGTGTGTGTGTCTGTGTGTGTGTGTGTCCGTGTGTAAACACGATAACTTGAGTACCGTTACAGCTAGGTTGATGAAATTTCATATATAAGTATTTTATCAAAATCGTAGATCCGTATCAACTTTTGAGCGATTTCTGACAACCGGAAGTGGTACTTTTTCTACTTTGAATTTTTCAAAAGCCTATAACTTGAGTACTATTTCAGATAGATAAATGAAATTTCACATGTAAGTAAAAGATCTAATTCTCTACCTTCTGTTAAATTTTGAGTAATTTCCGTTGACCGGAAGTAGTAATTTACGCTACTTCCGATTTCTCAAAAAACTAATGTAAATTTTTAAAGTAATAATAATATTGCGCACTATTATGCGCTTTTTTATTTCGCGTTCACTTGGTGTGCAATTAATTTGTCTACGAGATTTTATTCTATTTTTAAAACTTTAAGTATTTAAAATGGATTAAAAATCATGTCTATAGCCCGAGTTCCCATCCCCTGTTATTTTATATAAGAATATTCGAGAAAGTTTAGGGGAGATCACTCCCGGTTTATTTTCAATGTAACTATAATTTTATCGCTTGTCATTTTTTTTAAAGATTTTTAAAAATTTAGTATGATTACATAGACTTTTCATGCCTATTATTCATTTTTACTTTCTCGTATATACGAAGTATAGAGAAAGTCTTGTAATCGTGCAAAAAAAAAAATCGAGATTTTTGCAAATCTCGACGTTTTGCATCTCACTGATACGGAAAAACATAATTTTGCAATCTTGTCCGTATGTCTGTGTGTCTGTGTGTGTGTGTCTGTGTGTGTGTGTGTCCGTGTGTAAACACGATAACTTGAGTACCGTTACAGCTAGGTTGATGAAATTTCATATATAAGTATTTTATCAAAATCGTAGATCCGTATCAACTTTTGAGCGATTTCCGACAACCGGAAGTGGTACTTTTTCTACTTTGAATTTTTCAAAAGCCTATAACTTGAGTACTATTTCAGATAGATAAATTACATTTCACATGTAAGTAAAAGATCTAATTCTCTACCTTCTGTTAAATTTTGAGTAATTTCCGTTGAGCGGAAGTAGTAATTTACGCTACTTCCGATTTCTCAAAAAACTAATGTAAATTTTTAAAGTACTAATACTATTGCGCACTATTATACACACCTTTATTAGGCGTTCGCTTGGTGCGCAATTGTTTTTTACTGAGATTCTATTCTATTTTTAAAAGTTTCAGTATTTAAAATGGATTAAAAATCATAACTATATCCCCAGTTACCATCCCCTGTTGTTTTATATAAGAATATTCGAGAAAGTTTAGGGGAGATCACTACCGGTTTATTTTAAAAAAAATAATGATCCTTTCCATGTAAACGTAGGAGCTTAATTAAATTAAAGAAGTGTGCATCAAATCAGACCAGCTATGTGGATTTAAACGACTAAACGGGATTGTGCTATAGCATGGTAGAGTACACACATTTTTTACCCAGAAGCCTCGCGCTCAGATCCTGTACTGAGGTTTGTCTGAGTCTATTCTGACGAGTACCTCACTCAAGGAAATCAAAACATAGGCTGGGTGTACAATGCTGATCATACATTTGCTTTTTTAAAATTGTTCCTACAGAGAGGTCCGAAAGTCTTCTTTACTGCTATAACTATACTACCATATAATACTACTAATAATCAATTAATCGCTTACCTCGCTTTGTGGTCGGTGGAACCCCATAGATTTGTGTGGGTTGTCGCGTGGCTGCACCCACCCCTCTCCACAGCCTCCATCTAGGTGGTCGTTGAAGTTCATGTAGGAATTGTTGAGCCCTGGCGGTGGAAGGCCAAACGCCCAGTGATGCCGCTTTAGCATCAGTTATTTGATGTTGGAGTTTACCTCCTTGATGGCTAACTGTTCCCAAGCTATCGCGTCTCATCAGCCTGGGGGTTCGAACAGAGGATTTTTCGGTTTAGAAACTAATATACTATAGTATACTTTATTAACATATATCAAAATGTTATAAAAAAAACATTTGTTAAAATTGAGGCTAAAAAATTGCAAGAAAAATATGTTATGCTTAGAGTTTAAACTCAAGCAGTCTAACCTTTTTGCCATCAGTATCTATCCCCTTAGCTCCACCCCCTTCCCTCAGTGCTACACCACAATCTTTTACTTTATGCTCCAGGCTGGCTTATAGGATGTGAGGTCCTCTCTGTGATTGGTGTGTCTAGCAGCGCTGCTGCCCTCATGTTTATCGCTATCATTTTCTTCAACGAGTTCAAAGGTCGTTCACAAAACTCAAAGTTCTCCATTTTCCTGCTAGCAGACAGCTTAATGGCAGGTAAGTCAAAATGGTACTTAGATCTATATCCAAATAGTAAGTCATTATGGTAAAGTAATGTAAGTAAAGTTCCCTTATCTAATCTGACGATCTATAGGGCAAGTGAAGTAGAGGTCACTTGTTTCTGTGACCTCGGCATACGAAGGGATAGTGTGGTCAGCACTATGCCCAGCCGCCTTTATTTTCCCTAACGTGAGTTAGGTACCCATCAGTGCTATGAGAATTATTGATAGTTATCGACATTGCCTTCAAGTGGCTTATTGCTAATCGTTTTAGTTGTGTCTGTTTATAATAATAAATACATGAAAACGTTTAAAATTACAAGCTTTTATAAATGCACTAAAAAGAAGAAAATAATACAATTTTTATTAAATATAAAATAATTTTAAAAAATATAATAAATCTGCGGTTACTTTAAATATATAAAAAAATTACTTTCTTTAAATATATTTAATGCACTACTATTTATATCACTATAAATAAAAGCGTAGGCCGCTTGTTTAAATACTTATTATTATGCGGCCCACGCTTTTATTTATAATGATATAAATGATAGTGCATTAATATATTTAAAGAAGTTGTGTCTGTTTATAAAAAGAATATATTATAACACTTCAGTGTGTGCTGATCCTGTTTGTAAGCCAAATATTTTACAATTTTAAGAGGAGTTACTGTAATAAATTTGGCGAATCGTTTCCACAAATGTTTTAATGCGTCTTATGTTGTTTCTTTTAAATAACAGGTACCTGTATCATCATCTGTATCGCTGTATATGCAAGTAAAGTGCACGACACCTCACTGCTAGGTTATTCCTTCTACCTCGCCATTGTGGGCGGAGTTTTGATCAAAATAGGGGGAATAATTGGATTTATCATCAGCAGACGATTGAGTTACGGCGCAATGTAACTTATACTGCCTCAAACATCCTGCCATCTTTTTAACTTATTACGTTGTAAATATTTGTAAACTATTTTAAATGTACTGCTTTGCTATGTTGATTGAATTATGTATACATTATCTAAAATAAAACAATCTAGAATATATCTATTACGGTCATGTTTTTTTTTCTCAATAAAATGTTGAAAGTACGCCTCCACTCTCCCCTTTAAGATGGAGACTTGAGACTAAGCTTATGTAACAAACTCATGTATTCTTGTGTTTGACCACTTGATACACTTTTTATTATAATTAAGGTGTGTAAAGCAATAAATAAGTGTGTAGGGATATGCGTGTTTTACATAAAGATGTATTATGATACTTGACAAAGTAGATTAGTAAAAAATATTTATCCACAAGTTTTAAATATATATATATATATATATATATATATATATATATATATATATATATATCTAATATATAAAGCTCAGTTCTGTATGTAATGCATTTGTATATCCTTGGAGTTGTACGAATTTAAGTGTTAGAAAATTATCGTGCGCATTTGTCTAAATTTATGAGCTAAAAAATTACCATTGAAAGTGTTGGGAAATAATTTTCATTTTTCAAATTACAGTAATAATTGTCGGCATGTTCATTAAACACAAGTTTTAAAAAAAATATCATCTTTTACAAAAATTCTAATTATGTCTTTATTTAGTCCTATAGCACTTACTTCCCTTTGATAAATTAGGAAAAACACAATTACTTCCCTTTATAAAATCATTGCATTAGTCGAAAATAATTTACTTTTTAATTACTTTGTTTTGGTGTTGGGAAAAAAAAATAATTACATAATTAGCGGGGATTGATCAAGTGCAAATGTTGTAGGTATTTTACGGATAAGCTTGGAGTATTAAAATTGTTCATCACATTGAAACAGGCGCGTTCGTTTAAGTGAGTGCAAAAGACTATGAATAAGTTGGGGTACTATAGTCGTTCATTAAGCTAAAACAGGTGATTCCGCCCCGGGCGTTTATGTTCGCGTTAGTGTTTTCTTTGTGTTTAGGTGGGTTTGCGTTAGTGGTTGCGTTTTGATTTGGTTCGTTTTTGTTCTTTCTTTTTTCGTTTTTGTTTGTTTTTTTTTTTTTTTGAGTTTGTATTTGTGTTTTTGGTTGGTTTTGCGTTTGAATTTGGTTTGTTTTCGTTTGCTTTTTCGTTGTTTTTTTTTTTTTTTGTTGGTATTGGTGTTTGTGGTTGGGTTTGTTGTTAGGTTTTTGTTTTCGTTTGCTTTTTTGTTTGTTTTTTCTTTGTGTTTGTATTGGTGTTTGTGGTTGTGGTTGGGTTTGTTGTTAGGTTTTTTGTTTTCGTTTGTATTTGTAATTGTGTTAGCGTTATGTTTGCGTTTTGTTGTTTTGGTTTTGGTTGGTTGTGGTTTGGGTGGGCAATGCCGGGTTTATGATGATTACTAAACACACAGGTAATGGTCTTTAACAGAAAGGTTTTTCACAGAAGCCAGAGCAGGGCCTGGCCGGGACGGCTAGTATCTAATATATAAAGCTCAGTTCTGTATGTAATGCATTTGTATGTCGTTGGAATTGTACGAATTTAAGTGTTAGAAAATTAGCGTGCGCATTTGTCTAAATTTATGAGCTAAAAAATTACCATTGAAAGTGTTGGGAAATAATTTTCATTTTTCAAATTATAGTAATAATTGTCGGCATGTTCATTCAACACAAGTTTTAAAAAAAATATCATCTTTTACAAAAATTCTAATTATGTCTTTATTTAGTCCTATAGCACTTACTTCCCTTTGATAAATTAGGAAAAACACAATTACTTCCCTTTATAAAACCATTGCATTTTGTGGAAAAGAATTTACTTTTTAATTACTTTGTTTTGGTGTTGGGAAAAAAAATAATTACATAATTAGCGGGGATTGATCAAGTGCAAATGTTGTAGGTATTTTACGGATAAGCTTGGAGTATTAAAATTGTTTATTAAATTGAAACAGGCGCGTTCGTTTAAGTGAGTGCAAAAGACTGTGAATAAGTTGGGGTACTATAGTCGTTCATTAAGCTAAAACAGGTGATTCCGCCCCGGGCGTTTATGTTCGCGTTAGTGTTTTCTTTGTGTTTAGGTGGGTTTGCGTTAGTGGTTGCGTTTTAATTTGGTTCATTTTTGTTCTTTCTTTTTTCGTTTTTGTTTGTGTTTTTTTTGTTTGGGTTTGTATTTGTGTTTTTGGTTGGTTTTGCGTTTGGATTTGGTTTGTTTTCGTTTGCTTTTTTCGTTGATTTTTTTTGTGTTGGTATTGGTGTTTGTGGTTGGGTTTGTTGTTAGGTTTTTGTTTTCGTTTGCTTTTTTGTTTGTTTTTTCTTTGTGTTTGTATTGGTGTTTGTGGGTGTGGTTGTGTTTGTTGTTAAGTTTTTGTTTTCGTTTGTATTTGTAATTGTGTTAGCGTTATGTTTGCGTTTTGTTGTTTTGGTTTTGGTTGGTTGTGGTTTGGGTGGGCAATGCCGGGTTTATGATGATTACTAAACACACAGGTAATGGTCTTTAACAGAAAGGTTTTTCACAGAAGCCAGAGCAGGGCCTGGCCGGGACGGCTAGTATATATGTATAGTGAATCATTTGTAACTGTAAGTACAGAATAATGTGTATTGAAACTTAATAATATTTTTTAAAAAAATACCTATCAGTTTATATTCTATTTTGTTGACTGATGAATGAAAATAGGGCCAGATCCTTATTATCAACTTATATTACCGGTACATTTTGCGATACTTAACTCTAAAGTACTTGTGATGAGTGAATAATTAAATACCCCAGATGGGCGTTAAATACGTATTACCTTAATAAAAAAAAGAAATCGCACTGGAGAATTAATTTTTAAAAAATACAAATTTCTGTCAAAATAAACTACATAAGCGCAGAATAGGACAAACGAACTTACTTTTTTTTTAAAAACACATCTTTCAGTTATAAGTAAATACACATATTCTCGATATTAAAAATTATTAAATTTGCGCGTCTTTATGCTTAAAAGTATAGAAAAAGAAATAAACAAATAGTTAATGTATACAAGCATATATAATATCTAAATCGAACCAGTACATCATCATAATTATATAAATATTAATGAAAAGTTCTGTAAAAATAACATGCACCAAAAACCACACTCCACCTGTGACAAGTACATCCTGACTTAACACATTTTGGTTAAGATCTGAATTTTAAAACATCGCCACAAAAGCAGAGCTTGAATGTACCAGACACTTTTACACTGATCAGCCCATTTGTGTGTCAGAAATAAGACATCTATTATTTTAGTGAGCAATGGTGTAGGTATCCGAGCAAAAAAACGCGTGTGGAGGTAAGGTTGTGGTGGGGTGTGAGTGGGGGGGAGGGGGTGGAGTGGAGTGGAAAATGGTGGGGGCGTGTGTTGACGCTTTTTCATTTGGAACAACTTATGTTTGACGTTTGTGTGGTAAATTTATTTGTTTGTAAATTAAACTTTCAAACAATCTTTAATCTAACAGAAACAAAAGTCTGTAGGAAAATAAATTGTACTATAGCACCTAAGAGCAAATTTTGGGACCCCAAAAATATCTGAGTCCCCCTATCGCTGCCCTCTAAGCCTCCCTTCTTAAAGTGCCACTGATTACCTCCACTAACATGCATCATGTCGGACACTAAAAACACATATAATTTAATATTCAAATATACTCTGATACTATTGGATTTATCAAAATTAATAGTTGCAAAGGCCACAGAGAATTCAGCAGTGTTTTTAAACAGGGTTACCGTGACAGCATATGGAATGGTTTCATATACGTTCCAGCTCATATGTTCACCTCCCCTGTCGGCTCATCTTAAATATACTCTAACTGAGGGGTGGGGCGCTCAGGACAACCATTCCAAGCGATTGTGAAACCGCACACTAGATTATAATATCAGTATCTTTGTGAAACAATGGGACGTTATTACGTAACAGAACGATACAGGAATTTCGTCATTCAATATTTTATCTCTGATAGGATTCGATGACTCACAAAAGTGGGATCTTCTGCTGAAACAAATTTTGTGAGACCTATAAAATGAGAACGGATTTTGATGATAATTGTTATTGACAATCACACGATTCAGGTAAGGGATGTCTATTCGATCTAATTGTGTTCTTTATTCGGTTTGATAGTACTTTGTTCTTGACTAAGTTTGAACTATTTAATATCTTTATTAAACTTGATCTAATTTCGTTCTACATTTTATTTGGTACGCGGACCTTTGACCACAGGTGCTTTGACCATAGGGGCTTTCAACATAGGTGGTTTGTCCACATGTGCTTTGACCAATGACAATATGAGCTTTGACCATATGTGGCATCTCCACAGCAGGGTTTTAACCATAGGGGTTTTGTCCATAGATAATCTCAGACCACAGGTGGTATTTGAAAGGGGGGGGGGCTTTAAATAAAGATGCTTGGGCCAGAAAGGAAGATAAAATTCGTCAAGCAAGCGAGAGGTCATTTACGAATGTCCCTGAAACCCACAATTATCCAATGGATAATAGATCGTCTCGTAAATTACTAACTGTATGCACATTTTTTGTGTTCATTTGGGGTGTATAGTTTTAAATCAGGCAAATCTTTTGTATAAAAAAAAATTAATTTTTATGTAAAATAGTATTAATCTTTACTATTAATATTTACGCCCAATTATATTTATCTGTATTTGGCTTTTATTGATGTAACTGTATTTAATCATATATATATATATATATATATATATATATATATATATATATATATATATATATATATATATATATACATATATACATTTTTATTATTTAATTTTCAGACAAACCTTTTAAAATGTCTCAAATCGCTGCTCTAGCTGGAGCTGCAGGCATCATAGGTCTGGGGAGTCTACTGCATCTGGTTGGCATGGCAACGTCGAGTTGGTTGAACATTGGTTCAGGCACTATTGGACTATGGAAACTCTGTATCCATGGCCACTGCGGAACCATAATGGACAAAGCAGGTAAAAAAATCTCATTTCAAGGT